AACGTGCCCTTGACCTGGTTTTTGGGATGGATCAGTTTACACCCGACGAAAAGGTTTTCAGTTTGCAAACGTTTTTTGGAGAAGAAGCTGTGATGAGAATGACCACACTAGCGAATCCAAATATGGTTGTCCTTCGCCTGCAGCGATTGTTCGGCAATGATCCGCAGTTCACTGTTGACATGGCAAAGAAAATGCTGGCGAAGATGCTCGAAGATTTGCACGCAAACAGGAAAGAGGAGTACATGAGTGCCGTCGGTTTGGCTCTCTTGTTCGATCGTTCAGGAGGCAAACTAACTGCTGCAATGAGTGACGCAATTGCTAAGGTCCCTAAAACTTACTGTATTTGCATTCGTTAAAATTTTCACTGTCTTCAAATCTGATTCTACCATCTTACAGATTAGAAAGGACCTAAATTGGATTAGAAAGGGGAGGGTGCGAGGGATAATGAAAATTTTGTCCCTGCAAGTGTATTTTTTCTTATTTTAGGAAAAGCCCAAAATGGCGCACATTCAAAATCTTATCAAGGAAATCAGGGAGATGTGGGATGAATGGGATTTGCGAGATGGCGAGCGTGATGACATTCTAGAATTTGATGCTTTCTACAATGGTTTTATGGCTCCGTATTTTGGCTGTTACAGGTAACAAGACAACACGCTTTTTACAAAGCAAACATTCTTACCATTTGTTCTTTGTCATTAGTATCCGAATAGCCTGTTACTTTAAAATGAAGAAATAGGTACAAAACAGAGATTGGAAATTTGAGAAGATAATGCCCCTGTAAAGACAGCTGGTATCAAATCAATGGTCAATCAAAAAATTATAAAGAGTTTTGTTGAACATGTATTGTCAAGTCGTAGGAGAAATTCTACTGTTCTTGATAGCTCTTTAAGGATTGTTTCTCTGCCTGCCAAAAGCAAAAGATAACAAAGCAAAAGGAATTTCAGATCTCTAGAAATATGTGAATATAATTCCCAGTGGCTGTTTTAAAATTCCCTAGATTTTTTTTATATTCTGGATTACGATAAGCATTAAGATGAATTTCTTGGATTTTATCCAAACGTTTTGAGAATAAAGTAAATTGCACCAATATCAATTTCTGACAGATGCGATGAGACCAAGAAAGCATTAAAGGCCATTGACATGGATGCTGACGGCAAGGTTGATTGGAATGAATTTGCTTTGTACTTGAAATGGGCAGGAAGACAGTACCCGCAAACATCAACTGCAGAAGAGCTACTGTCTATTGCCTTCCGCAAGGGTCTTGTGCCTGCCATGAAAGACGAGCTCGTGAAGGATGTAAAGCTACCGGAATCAGGGACAGATGAAGATATGTGTGGAGATTCAGGTGAAGAAGAAGATTTCGACTATTTTTCAGGGCGATGTTCTTCTGATGACGAGGATGAATATGATTTTTAGTCATTCTGTGTGGCTGAAGTACTGTTTAGACCAGTTGTTGTCATAGTTGGGGACTTAACGAAAAATTCCATGCTTTGATTCTCATTGAATGCTGCCATGCACAATATAACATTTCCACCTACCACCTTACAAATTTATACCTACGCATAACCCACGTGGCAACTCAGTTTTCTACCAACAATTCCCTACGAATTTTGATAAAAAACCTACTTTCTACATTAAGAAGGCGTTCGGCAGTGTCTGTTTTCAATGCTGTAGCTAGATGTTTGTGATTGGTGCATTGCATGATAACAAAGACAAATAGACCATTCATTTCCTATTTTTGTTTTGAATCCAATTGTTTTATAGCTGTATTTCAGTCACTCAGGTGGGGCAAACCAGCGAAAAACTTATGGTAAATAGAGGCTGAACTCCCATTTTTTGGTCGAAAAACTTCTTTAGAATAGAGAAACAATACTTTTAGAATTAATTTTCGCACTTGCACATAATTTTTGCACCTTTTCTAATTATGGTTTCCCTGGCCTAGAGCCACCCTGCACCAGCACTGCACAAATTTCGAAAAAAAACCTTCATTTCAAAATTTATACCGTAGGTTTTCCCTACAACCCTCAAAACCCTCAAAATCCCTACAGGAGGTAGAAACCCCTACGTGTGGCAGCACTTCATTTAACTAACATGTCATATTCATTATGATGATAAGTTTGCTGTAGCTGTGAAGACCATTACAAACCTATTGAGACTTCTTGAAACGACTTGAATTTCGACGTTTAAATGAAAAAAGATGTTAATTGCTAAATGCTACACATTCCTGCAGTTGAAATTTCTTCTAATTCAATGATCCCGAGCATCAGAGTAGATATGTATGGTGACTTTGTAGATATCAAAGCAGTGGTTTGAAGAAACATGTTGTTTTCTTTTGAATCATCCCTCTGTTTGAAGCACTTTTCTAAGCTTCTTGTTATCGAGTTGTTTTTTCTTTCATGGTACGTTTTAAAGCAAATAACTTTACAAAGACTTTGAGCACACTCGAGAATATACCCTGGGTGCCAAAGTCTTCATAATTTAGTCTCAGAAATATAGTTCGATTCTTTGCCACACCGGCCTACAATACATTATTCCGGGTTTCTCGAGGCTCTGGTACCCAGGGTAGTGAGAATAATTTATTTCTTTCTTTGCCAAAAACAAGGTTCTTTTTCTTCAAGCAGGCTATAACAGGGACAGCGGAGGATAATGCGGATTGGGAAAGAGC